AGTGCCGATTTTTTTCCGGTCGTCTAGAAGACCAGGACAGTCGCCGCTACATTTCCCCAGCCCGATTTCAAAGCGTGCCGGCACAGTCAAATTTCAGATGCTTTGCTGAAGGTAGATAACTTTAACTTGTACAAGTTTATTGATACAGTTGTTAAAGTAAAATGAACGCAATTATAAATGTATAAGATCAAAATAAATAATTATGTTTTTTTGTAGTATTCAGGCCAGTAGTTTAACCACACAATCATAGATGTGAGTTTTAATAATGTAAACAATATAACAATGCTTTTTTGTTCTCCTAATCGACGCCACTAAAAAAGAACGGTAGGCTACGTCTTTGATGTTGTCTACATGTCTGGCGGTCTCTCGAGCTATATAGTCTGTGCATTTTTCGCAAAGACGTTTACCGACTATCGTGTTTGTTTGTAACTGTAGAAGAAAGATAACTCGACCTCCACCTAATTGTTTTTTTTTTTTTTATAATTTAGCCAGGATTAGTACCAACATGTGATTTTGTAACAGATAGTAAGACCATTTATGACATTTACAGTATCAAATATGACATGTTTTATCGATATGTTTTAACAAAATATGGAATGGAATGTTTTAATGTTCACTTAACTTTGGATTTTCTCATACACGATGAATAAGTAAACAAATCGAAATTTCAACATGTTATGTCGACGTTTAAACTTTCCTGACACAGAAAAACCAATTTTACATTTGGTGGTCACAATTATATTGTTTGACATTGCATTAAGTCGAATAAATAGGCTTCTTTTAACTTTTTTAGCTATTTTAGTTCATCCAATATGGTATTTTAATACATTCGCCTGAATATGGTAACTCGAGCAGGATTTTAGTTAGGCAGGTGAAATTTAAATCATGAGTAGTGGGGGGGGATGTATGCTTAGTATAATCTATATGATGTCTACTTTTATTACAAACACTCCAACTATATAAACATTTGATAAGAACTGGAACACTCTTATTTTCCGACCACACTGACGATATCAACAAGTACGAGCCTAGATAGCTCAGAGGTTAGCGTATTAGGTTACCATGCGGGGGGCATTGCTTTAACGATACGTCCGTTTGCTATTTTTATTAGGTTCCAACACTATTATCAATTTTTAATACTTCTTTTAATTTGAGTATACAATACATTTCTCTAGATCTAGAATCTACAGATCAGCTGTCGAAAGCAGGAAAAGTTTCAAATCTAGAATCTAGGTAAAACAAAAATTAATTAGTTAAAATTAAAAACTATTAGGCTATAAAATCAAAATAAATTTTTGAGTTTCTTTATTAAACTATTTTAGTCCTTAAATATTCGAAATAAATCTGTTCTTTTTAGCTTCAATGATCAATCTAATTCATAATATACAAAGGATTTATCTATACTATCTATGTTCTAGATCAGGGGTCTCCAAACTTTTCAGCCCGAGGGCCGCATTAACTATCAAATATAAGATCGGGGGCCAGATTTTCTTCAAGGCATCTCTTCAGTGTGTTGCAGCTATAGCGCCCCCCCCCCCCACCCGAAGAACGTCTACCCCAACCCCCCAACGTAATATAATATAATTATAAAAAACACAATCGAGGTCCAAGTTTGCTTTCAAAATATTCTTCACTTATTTTATTCTTGGAAATTTTTGTTCACACAGGTGTGTTGTTCCAAAATTTGAAAGGTACTCTGATGCAAAACGTTTAATATTAGGAAAGTCTTCCTTGTGCAAAAACTTATAAAAACCCACCCGCCCTTCTTTGAACGTGTCTCTAATGACCTCCAGCTGCAGTTTATCTTTGCAACTGGCCACATTTGCTTCAAATGGGTTTTGAAACAGACTCCCTTCTTCTGCCTTTGAATCCAAGTCAGAAAATCGCTACTGAACTGCAGCTGAAGGTCCTTGATTATCTCGCATGCAAATGACGTGGGGAACTCAGTGGTTGCTTCAGCCGTAAAGACCTTGCACTGCTGAGAGTGCGTCAAGTTGTTGGCATGTACTTGTTCCAAAAACACGACAAGCTCTGATCTGAAGGCCTTTAGGTGGGTGTATAGATCAGAAACTAGATTTCCATCTCTTGTAGTTTTAGTTTCAGAAGATTGAAATGAATAGTTATGTCTGCAGCAGAGGCCAATTTCTATACCCACTCTTCATCAGACATTAATGGCTGTAACTTTCCTGTACTTACCAGGAAGTCACCTATTTCATTTCTTAACATAAATACTCTGCTTAGAACTTTTTCGCAACTTAACCGTCTTACTGCTGTGAAAAATATAGTAAATCTCGCGATTCTGGTTGAGCACATGTGACCTTATTAAATTCGCCATCTTTATCACAGGATTCATTACAGTGTCCATATATTTTGCACTCAAAAATTTTGCTGGTGAATAATAAAATGCAGGAACATTGGTTGTAGAATATTTTTCTCATTCGCTTGTTTAAGTCTTTATGTATGCCACTCATTTACTTTCGCTATTTGAGTCATAATGTTTTAACCCTTGTATGCAACACGGCGGGGAATGGTATTTGCACCAAAAGCTACATTTTCAAAACTTTTCTGGGCATTATTCATCAGCCACCTCTAAGAAACATTTTTTCCCATGGACGAAAAGATATCCGCGGGCCGGATGAGAGGACTTGGCGGGCCGCATCCGGCATCCGGCCCGCGGTCCGTAGTTTGCAGACCCCTGTTCTAGATCTAGAACTACGGAAAGACTTGACTAGACTTATCCACCAAACCACTCGTAGAATCTAGAATCTATCTAGATAACTCTATCTATATCTAGATAATAATGAGTTTCAATACTAAATTATGTCAGACCTTAATTATTATATATGAATCTTTGTTTGTTTAGCTATGGAACAGGCTAATTTGGGATAAAATTAAATTTGAAATAATAATAGGACCTATTCTCGTAAATCAAGTTTCTTACGCAGAATCAAAGTATAATATCGCCTCTGACTGGAACTGCCAAAATAGCTAAGGATTTTAGTGTAATAGGTTTCCATGCGTATGGCAGGGGTTGGAGACACATCATGTTAAACCAATTTTTTTTTCAATTTTAATTTTTTAGATGTGAGTGGTAAAGTTGCCTTTGGAACTTAGCGGAATACAGGGCAGGTGAAATAAAGTTCACCGGCTTCTTTGTCCTCATCATATAAAGGGATAGTGTGGTCAGAGCCATGCTCGGCCGACATCTTTTTTTTTAACGATAAAAACATGTCTTAAACTTGGCGGGACACGGGGCAGGTGAAAAAGAGTTGGGTAGGTGTAGGTAGAGTTCACCTGTGACGACAGTATATGAATGGATAGTGCGATCAGACCAATTCTTAGCCGAAGTAGGTGTTTTTAAAAGATAAAAACGTGTGATGTGTGATGTCTTTTTGATTGTTGGGTCTGTTTTTTTACGATAAGTGATAGACATGATGTCATTTATGGATGACCTCCGAAACCCACAGCTATCCAAGGATAACGGGTAGTCTAGTATATTCTAAAGCCGGAAAGTACACACAATAAAATGACGTTATTGATTTTAGAATACACATAGAATTAAATATCAATGCTGAAAAAATACACAATAATAATGACGCTATAGATATTTGATGATAGAGATACTAACATAACCCCCCAATTTATTTGTCTAATCTTAAAAGAGATCTGCATGTAAAGTTTCTTTCAGGCAGATCTTTGTAAAGGGAGTAGAAACCCCCCAGCCTGTGAAGAACATATACCGCCCGCCCGTACCCCATACCCCGACGAAATTATGTAGAAAATATATACTTTTACCAGTGTCAGCCCTCCCCTGGAGAATTAAATCCTCCCCCAAAAAATGAATAGCACCCCCTCTCCTCCCCTCCCCCCCCCCCCCCCCCCAGCAATCTTTTTGAAAGAAACATTACATGATTGAGGTTTAGCGGCCAAAACAAAAATAGGAAACTGTTCTAAATTTTAGAAGTATGGTCTAACTTTAGTCTGTGTGATCTACAAATGTAAACAGTGGTTTTTTTTTTAAATGTCCCCCTGATAAGGGGATGGGTACTTAAGTTTAAGCTTACTTGCAAGGTTTTGGGGTATGACTACGACCTTATTTAGTATCAATGTGCAGTAGCCACGTGTGGGTCAATCTTAAATCCGGTAAAAATTCAGATTTAGTAAAAAAAAATCCGTTTTCAATAACATTTTTCGTTTCCAGTTAAATTTGAAGTTGTGGTGGTGATTTTGGTTTAGTTTAGAGAAATAGACAACAACATTAACCTAACCGTTGTATTTCTCCCTCAACGGGACATTAATCTATTGATTTAATAAGAATAGAAGTACGATTTTACCTTTTGTTATTGGCATCTTGTCAGGTGAATTCTGTTACAAGAGATAAAAACATAATATTGGGGAAACAATTAACTTTGCAAAATATATATATATATGAAATATAATATATTGTTTTTGAAAAAAAAAACACTTTAATATGACTGAATGTATAGTATAAAATGAACTCCTCAAAATTCATGTAAAGGCCAATCAGTAGTGTTCAAAGTCGTAAAGGTTTTTGGAGGTTGTCCCAAGGTAAATCATTTTGTCTGTTAGCCCTTTGGATTTTTGTACGATCGCAAGAATGTTCAGGGTATATCGACTTTTATAACTTTTATCAATTGATGGCTTATGAAATATATGAAGAATTTTCACTTGCGGTAAGTATTTAGCACATACAGCGTGTAGAATCTAACCGACATATATATATATATATATATATATATATATATATATATATATATATATATATATATATATATATATATATATGCGTGTGTGTCTGTTTGTCTGTCCGTCTGTCTTTTTTACATTACTACACCCTCATCACATATCCGTGAAACTTTGAGAAGTTGTTGAAAATATTCATGGGGAGGTTTCTGCGGAAAAAAAAGTTTCAACTTGGCAAGGGTGGTAACCTGGCAGGGCGCGATTACTTTTTCGGTATATAAAATAAAAGTCGATTGCGGTTCGACACCGATAACCCGATCGCTATAAAACTTTGGAAGTTAATTAGAACACTCCAACGGCGGCGCCACGGGAGTGTGCGATTTTTCTCTATATACGGTATATAAAAATAAAAGTCGATTGCGATTTTAATACGTTCAACTGATCGCCATAAAACTTTAGGCAATTAAATAGAACACTCTAGATGAGCTTCACGCGAGAAAAAACATTCAAATTCGCAGGGGTGGTGCCCGGGCAGAGGGCTATTTTTTTCCTCTATATATGGCATCATAAAATAAAAAGCCCATGTGCGTCACTTCTGTCGCTCTCTCTCTCTCTCTCTCTCTCTCTCTCTCTCTCTCTCTCTCTCTCTCTCTCTCTCTCTCTCTCTCTCTCTCTATTCGCAAAATATTTCACAGCCTTTTATATCAGTATCTTCAGCGATATAAGGAGAGCTTGATAGGGGATTTCGTTGTAAATAATAAGATGGGTAATTTTAATGCATAAATTAAATTTTATTTAAAGAGATAAAATAAAAATAGAGGCATATTCGAATGTAGAAAAAACATTTTTAATTATGCAATCTGAAAAGTGTTTATAACTTTGAAAAGAACGCAGAAAACAATGACGTCACATGTCACATGTTAACAACCCTACGGAAAGAACTTAACACTAATGGCGTCATCTTCCGATTTTAGAATATAAAGAAATGAAAAATCGCATTCAAATTTGATTTAGATCTAGATTCTATAAATCTACGTATAAAGAAGTACGATATGAAATGCATACAATTTTCTTGGTCAAACTAATACATTTTACTTTAAAAAACATTCTAATGACCATTGAATAGCTGGATTTTTAACGGAATCATTTGAGTCTCTTAATCGGTGTGTGCATTTAATATAGTATACTGCTGACAAATAATGTATATAATTTGGTTTTAATTTTTCTCCCTTATATTATTTTAAATGTGTAGGATTTTTAGCTATTTAGTTATTTCTTTGTTTTGTCACTAATATTGTTCAACGTGAAGTAAAGCACATTGTGTTTTGACTAATAACTATTTTATAAAATATTTTTCTCAAACATGTATAACATTAAAATATATACGTCATTAATTCACGTGTAACGGGTACCGGAAAAAGGCACTGTGCGTTTCCTCTTATAGAAAACAGAAAGGACTTATTTTTATGTGTGGAAGAACCGTTTGGCTAATAAAATACGCGTTAATTTATGGTGTAAGTTTTAGTTAGATTTTTCTGTGTAAGCAGAAAATATGTATACAACAGGTAATTAATTAATGACTATCACAGCATGCCGTAACAAGTTTTCAAACCGGCCGTAGGTTGATTGGAGTGAAGGGGATGAGGGGGAACAAAGGTCGCATTAAGAGTTTCTTTAAGGCAACTATCCGGACTGGGAGTGCGGACACTTGCAAAACTATATTTTTTCTATATAAAAGTTAGTTCGTTGCAGGGGGGGGGGGGCGAATGATTGTTTTCGATGGGAGGGGGGCTCACTTGCCTGAAGAGGCGCCTAAAAGTTATTGACACAGATGTTTGGAGTGAGACATTGGCAGAAGCGTGCATTGGTGCTATTAGAGGACTTTTTGCGTAAATGTTTGTACTTTGACATTACGGATGCTTGCAGCTTATGAAATAACAACAAAGACATTTTAATATAATCTGCTGAAACTGACTGATTCGTTTGGTTTAAGGGGGCAGAAACAGCCAGAACGTAGTGACTTTACTAAAACAAAGCTACCAAGAAATCCTATTTGACCTCCAGAAGCCGAAATTGTTACCATAATAAACTACATTTGATTAGCATGTGTTATAAGTGAAAACCTTAAAAATGTAACCTATCGACAAGAAAGAAATTAATACCAACCTTAGGAAAAATCTAAAACCAAATATCAAGTACACTTTATAATAATTGCCATGTACCAACTACTATAATTTGAACCATTCTCATGATACTGCTATTTCTCGATTGTCCATTATACAGAATTGGAAAATGTGCAACCTTTTTCAGAAATCTGCAAAATATAGTACTACTGTGCGACGTCAAAACGGCCAATGACAAAACGGCCCCGTCAATACGACCCCGACAAAAGGGCCAGTGACTTATTGACCCCGTCATATAGGCTGTCCAGAGCTCCCGGTCGAAAAACCCCTGGACATAAACCCCCTGGACAAAAATCCCCGCGACATAACCCCCCCCCCCCCTGAATAACAATGCCCCCCTCCCCCGAGTGTGGTTTATATAAGAAAATAATAACGATCAACGAAGCCAAAAAAAATAAAATTAGTTTAATTTGGACGACTAACAAAATAGTTTCTACTTAAAAGAATGCTGATCGAAAATTCAAGGAAGAACCGTATTTGTGTTTGATAAAAGATCGGGCACCGACAACACCTTAGACATACGTCATCCACAGAAAATACAAGACTTTCACTTCTACAACGTTAATAATTTGCTAGTGAATTTGCTCCCAAGCTCAGAATGTTACCTACGTTGACTTTTGTTCCCTAGAACACATTGGTAATGCTTTTGATGAATTATCTAAAAATTCGCTCTCAAAGGCGATGCCAATTGCAGACTCTTTTGAGTCTTTTGACTTTATTGGTACGTATAGGTCGGAGATAGCCTTTGTTTTTAATTATCTAAAGATATAGATATATATATATATAGATAGATATATAAATATATATATAGTAAGATATAGATAGATATATTAACTCATTTTACTTACGTTAAAGAAAAGACTCTTTGTAAGATGTGATGTAAATTCCGATGTCTGTTTTTCTATCTCGTTTTGCTTATTCTGTTTTTCCCTTTGTCTCACGAAACAGTTGGCTAAAGTTAAAATTTGGCAAATTTCACCTGACTTTCCGATCTGTGTAAATGCCTCACACAAAGAGTCTATATACCACGATCCCGTAGAGAAACGGTATGATACATGATCTGTATACAACAATTAATAGTTTAAATCTCTGAATAAGATACATTACAGTTTAGCGACAAAATTATTTATGTAATTTAAATTATTATACCAAAGTTTAATTTTACCATTGTGAAAAAATGTAAATATTGACATAAACTAAAAATTCCAGATACGTTCATACTACGTGCCTTCAATTGTCGAAAAGATCATAACACTATCGTCTAATTGTGTAGTTTGTGTAGTTTCATCACTGTCACAATTATCATCAAGATTATGACTTGCTGGTATAGGAATCGTGTTTCGAAGTTTACCTCTACAGCACTATAACATAAATAGACCGAACCACAGAATATAATGTGAACTGTTATACTAAATCATGTAGTAGGCATTACAATGTACACCATTATAGAAATCTAAACAAACCCTGAACTTACTTTTGTAGAGAGAAAAACAAAAGAACGTCAAAACGACTTTCTTAGTAAATCTAATTCATATACATTTATTTCTATCATATACGTTAATATATATATGTATATATATATATATGTATATATATATATATATATATATATATATATATGTATTTATAGGCCTATAAGAGTTACCAATAACTTACCAAAAGGCAAAATGTTGATTGGAATTATTTTTAGCTGACGTCTGCGTTAGAAATGCAAAGATTATCTCTAACGCATAGACTAATAATATTTTCTACTCCAACGACCGAAAACTACATTTTAACTCTACGCCTCTATTTGAAAAAAGTGCGTTTTTACAGAAAATAACAAAACACCGAGTAATGAAAATATCACTATAGCGGTAGAATTGCCTTTTTTTACTTTATTATACGAAGTATAGAGAAAGTCTTGTAATCGTGCAAAAAAAAAGTCGAGATTTTTACAAATCTCGACGTCTAACATCACACTGATACGAATAAACATAATTTTGCAATCTTGGCCGTATGTCTGTGTGTCCGTCTGTCTGTGTGTCTGTGTGTGTGTAAACACGATAACTTGAGTACCGTTTCAGCTAGGTTGATGAAATTTCATATATAAGTATTCTATCAAAATCGTAGATCCTGATCAACTTTTTAGCGATTTCCAATAACCGGAAGTGGTACTTTTTCTACTTTGAATTTTTCAAAAGCCTATAACTTGAGTACTATTTCAGATAGATAAATGAAATTTCACATGTAAGTAAAAGATCTAATTCTCTACCTTCTGTCAAATTTTTAGTATTAAAAAAAATATAATCAAATAACTATAGGCAAAGTGTTACATCAAAAACTGCTTACTCAAAAATGCTCCCGCGGACACATATTTTTAGGATTAGGAAAATAGTGAAAAGAATACACTGATATAAGTTAATAACATTTCAAGTAATTTATTTACCTTTGACATGCATTGTAAATTTTATATAACTAAGATATAATTAATTCTTACTTGAAAAATATATATTTTAGGTTTTTTTTGTAATGACTTGTTAACTTGAAAAGCATGTACAAATTTGTTTAATTTGATTTTTTCACCGTGTCCTTCTGCTTGAACTTTTTCTTGACCTCCATGAGACATGACGACCAAAACTAGCATGTTATATGCCGAATAATCTTCTTCTGAGCCTGGTTAATGAAAATCGATATTAGTCACTATTATTAAATGCATTAGATTACAATGTTTATAATGATACTAAATGGTTGTAAACTTTTTAATTACATCACGAAAATTGAATTATATAATAATGCAGTAGATTTTGGTAAGGGTTTTTATAAAAATAAAAAATTAAAAAGACGAGCTTCACAATTTATGTAAACAAATTTTACTAACAAAATGTAATTGTTTTATGAAATCAACTCACAAATATTTAAATATTTCTCTATTTTATCTTTAGTTGTCAATGTTGGTTGAGTGTCAACTTCCATGCCAATTTTCTGAAATATTCTTTTTAGATTCTTAACATCAATTTCAGACCCTATTCTGGTTCGCTTGATAGTACCGTCCGAATTGTAAAACTTTTTAATATTAATTATTATTACTTTTCCAGGTATTGTACTAGTCATCTGGTATATAATTTCCTTTCCTAAAGATGAATTTTTTTTCATGGTATAAGCTGTCAACCATATATATATATATATATATATATATATATATATATATATATATATATATATATATATATATATATATATATATATATATATATATATATATAATATATATACAGAGAGAGAGAGAGAGAGACCACCTCATGCGAATGGCTACCTCTGTTTCTGTCATTGATCTGATTACTGAGTAACTCATAGATACAATTGCACTTCCTGTGTATATCACCCGACTAATTCAAGGATCATAAGCCTATCTTTTCTTTGCTCCGACTCGAAGCATTTGGAATCTATTAATAGAATCACAAAGGAAAAGAAACGAAATTTTAAAATGATTTCCGCTATTAAAAAATTACATGAAACCTACAGTTCATGACACATCGCTTAGGAATTTAAAATAAATATTAGGCCTATAGGTTTAATTCAAACTGCATAGAATCTAGAAATGTAGATCTAGTAATCTGTTTTGTAGTTATTGCATATTTATTAGTGTTTATTGGTAGTAGCCTTTTAATAAAATATAATCAAACTAATAGGCTAAAAGTAAAAGACTAGTAGTTAGTTAGTAGTGAATAGGGCCTACATAATAAGTTAATAACATCTTTATTATTTAGATCTATATTTATAATGACAGAAGCCTACTATAGAATAATGAATAGGTATAGAATAGATAGATCTGATCATACAGCTGCATAAAAAGAAAGTTTTAAGGAAATAGGAATCTACAGAAGCGGAGATAAGAATGTTTTAAATTAAATTAGTAGGGCTTAATTTAAATGATTTCTATTGTAGTTTCACTGTTTGTTAGGCCCAATTATTAAATTTTTAGATCAGAGGTCTAGCTTGATCCAAAGGCGGAACTTTTAAAAAAGGGCCATCCCGCAAGGAATTTTTTGGGCCCCATGTATATATATATATATATATATATATATATATATATATATATATATATATATATAAACAAAATACGAAAATACCAACACAGAGTACTGATTTCGGGCTTGTTCGAGTTTTTAAAAACATTAAAAATAGTTTTTTTTTATTTTTAGAAATTAACTCAATTAACAACAACACGTCACATTTCTGTGAGTGCTATTAGTCTGAAAATATCTGTTTTAAAATGTTTACCATACTGCTTCTAACGAGTTAGTCGTTCAAAAGAATGTGAAGCATGAAAGCTTTGTATGTGTAATGGTTTCTCGCATTATGTTTATTTTCATGTGTTTTTTTTGTATTTATATTATTAGTTTTAAATACATTTCCTTTTTAGGCTTTGTCATTCTTAATTATGTTTTTTTTTAAAATAATAATTAAGAGAAGTAATTGCTTTTTAATTTGTTTAGTGCAAATAATAAGAGCACACATACTTGACTATTTTAAAAAAGGGAAATAAGTCATGGAAGTGGTTTGAACGTTTGTCTATAATTCACGCGATTTTCAAAAGAATTTTACCGACAACAGCGTGTGTTTGATTGTTGGAGAAAGAGGACTCGGGATGGTGTCTATAGAATAAAGATAATGAAACCGCAGCTACAGTATTCTTTGTACAAAACAACCATCAAGTAAAAAATGCACCTAAATTATTTTTTAACTAAAAAAAGTTATTATGGTCGGCTGTGGGCCCCCAAATGACGCGGGCCCCCTCTCCCCCCCCCCCCCCCCCAGCGTTGCGGGGTCTGGTGGCACTGTAGTTCCGCCCCTGGCTTGATCATGTGTGGTATCTATTGTAGTGCGTTGGAATGAAAAGCCCACATACTTAAATATAGAATCTAGTGTAGGCCTATACTGCCTATACTTTAAACTTTCGTTACCACAGGAAAAAGACTCATTTACTATTAGGCCTACTAGTTAGAATTAAATTGAATTAAAATATTTGTTTATTTTATACTTGCATGCTAAAGCTAATGGGCATTATTCAAGCTGCTTTTATATTTAGGGCCTTTTTAGGCTTATGGGCCTAGTATATAGTCTATAGCTTATATACTATATACCAATATTGTGCATTCAACTTAAAGCATGTAAGCATACAAAATAATAATAATATTCATTGGGCCTATAATAAAAAAGACTCATACTATTTATTACTACTTTAATACTACCTTTAAACTATTAGCCATAATGAAATAACGATTAATGATTTCAATGTTTTCCGCACTCGAGAGGAAAGAGGTTGTAGGGAACTTAGAGACTAAACCTTGCAAACATACTGGATTTCTGGTGATGACAATAGCATCTGATAGTATGCTACTCAGTTTAATACTAAAAAAATGATTTTAGCATTTAGTGGTAAGTTCGTTTTAAAAATAATATATCATAACATGGTATCGCAATAATTCAGGTTGTCCAATAAATGGTAATTAGAGTCAGGGTTATTTAGGACTATAGTTTAGTTCTTGGTTAGTAATATGCATCAAGTTGGGAAAGACATATAAATTGAAATACATAGAATTTAATGTGTTCATTCGCAAACGTCACTATTTCAAATATTTTAGGACTGCCTTTTATTGCTGAATAAGTAAATCACTATACTTGTCCTCTATATGATGTTTAAATAAAGTCAATTCGGATCAGTCGAGTAAATAAATTTAATAACAAGACATAAATATAATTTGCAATAAATAAATATATATATATATATAGGCCTAAATATATATATATGTGACTAGGGTAGGCCTAGCCACTAGTTACAAATATGATAACGAACGAGAAGCCGCGACGCAGTATGAAATCTGACGCAACCATAACAGGTGGCTTATTGGATCGGTCTGATAACAATCTCAAAGGCAACGCGTGCTATTTTGGGAAACGGTACGAGAAGTTTCAGACGAGCTGTCAACTTTGATGGATGGGACGCAGATGTTTTAGTGAATCGGACGGTACGTCAGAAACTGCGACAGTAGTATTCGGATACATCGATTACAAGTATCGATTACGGAAATGGAGACAAGTACGACTACGATTTCAAGGCATAAATAGGAGGGGACGGCAGAACTCGTTCTCTCTTCCCGTTTCGAGGCTCTTACCTCTTTCATCGCTCGCTTAGATCAGTCAGTCTGTGTGACTATGTCAAGTCGGTTATAGAACGGGTTAGCCGTATTGTGTTAAGAAGGATTATAGACATGTGGATTCAGTTATATAAAGCCTAGTGAAGGACTGTTAGGGGTCAGTTGATTCAGACTATTATTGAGAAGCATTCCTGTTGATTTATTGTGTTATTATGAAGCATTTCTTGATTCATGTAATAAAGGATCAATAGCGAACCTGCATCTTGAGTATCTATACTGTGGTCAATGTTGTCTAGAATGAGTGGTTAAACTCGTTAACACGTGGCACTACAGGCAATTAGGTCTCATTACATGTGGCGTTGCGAGCATGGTAACTGTTGGCTCGTTACAATTGGCGTTGTCGGCAGGATAAATGTTCGCTCGTCACAATTGGCGCTGCGATCAGGATGAATTCAACTAGACTTGCCGTTTTAGGCACCCATAGTCAACCTTGTGCATAACTGTGTTTTGTGTGTATGTGAATTCGGACATTCAGGAACTGTGAAAATTGAGGAACGAGGAAAATTTTTTCATATACACACGGTAAGAAAGAACTCTTTTGTTTTACTTACGGAATAAAATGTCTACTCTGGACGAGAAGCAGACCCATATAGTGGTCCTACCCAGAGAGTCCCACATTAACAAATTTTACGGGGACGGTGATCCCACTTTAACCAACAGGTTCAGTGAAGAGGTCAAAGCGGCCTGGGCCTCGAGAGGCATGTCACCAGAGGAAAGATTAAGACTGCTGATGGGCAGCATAGGAGAGACGGTTAGGGCAGAGGTCAAATGCCACGATAAAACCATCCAATCAGATCCTGATAAGGTGCTGGATCTGATTATGGAGACCTTTGGGGAGAGACGGTCGGGATCGCAACTGCTAGCAGGGTTCGTAGGCTTGAGGCAGAGATTGGCGGAGAGTGTGATGGAGTACTCACACCGGATGAATAGGGCCTTTGATTCGGTAAAGGTCAAAACACCGGACATTGACGTACGCCTACTGAGGGACCATTTCATTGAGGGGCTGGCAACCCCGATCCTAAGAAGAGAGTTGAAAGAGGAGGTCCACAAAGAACCGCAGTTGACCTTCCTTCAGGTCAGGAACTCAGCGATCCGCAGGTCCGAGGATGAGGACCAATCGAACTGTTCGGTGGACAAAGTCGCTGTGCCTGAACAGAGACAATCCCCACCCACAGGGGCCGACACGATGGAGACCATGATGGCTCAACTGTTGGCCCACCTAGATAAGGTTAACCAACGTTTGGAGAGGTTAGAGAGCAGGTCAACAGCTGAGAATCGGGAAAAGAACGGGACAAAACAGGGACGGGTTGGACGGCCGCGTCCGGCCAAGCCATCATTCCAATGGACGGCCGACGGTCGACCGATTTGTTTGTCTTGTTCACAACCCGGACATATGGCACGGTACTGCCAGGGAAACGATCGTCCTCTGTGAGGCAGGGCCAGGCTACAGAGGGGCGAGGGTATGGCCCAAGAAGCAAAATGATGGGAGTCTGTCCCGAAATGGTGATTATGATTGGGGACATCGCGGTGAAGGCAATTGTGGATACAGGCTCCCAGGTGACGACAATCACGGAAAATTTTTACAACAAATGGATGAAAGGAAAAGACCATAGGTTGAGGTCTGACACATGCATGCGCCTGACGGCAGCTAATGGACTAACCATTCCATACTGTGGTTATTTTCTGGCGGATGTCGTGGTGGCAGGACATAGGTTGAAGCAGGTTGGGGTGTTCGTTACGAAACACAACCTAGAGACAAATGTGTCAAATATACCTTGCCTGTTGGGCATGAATATTCTTGGCCAGTTGCCAGAATTTCTTACAAATATTGTCGGATCGACCACACCAGGTCGGGGATCCAAGTTGGCCAGGTTTGCCAAGACCAGAGGAAGGACAGCAGTCCCGGCAAACAC